GTTTTAAGTCCTCTTCACTTTCAGCAAGCAAGGTTGTATCATCTGCATTTCAAAGGTTGTTAATGAGTCTTCCTCCAATCCTGATGCTACGTTTTTCTTCATCGAACCCAGCTTCTAGGATTGTTGTTAGTGCTGTTGAATCCTTCCTGACTCATCACAACCCTGTATAGGGTTTCAGAGGCTGTAAACCTTTGCGGGGAAGAGAAAGTCTCATTTTCATCTCGATGAGCAGCTGATGGACTTCAGTCAGGTGCTTATCCTACAGATCCCACAGTGCCCTGTCCTGCGCTAGTCTCACAATCTTTGCTACCTTTGAGTCCTTTGTTGCAGTTACTGTGCCAATCAAGCTCATTTAAGGGTCTTCAAGAATACATTCACTTTTCTAACACACATTGCTGTATTATCTTTGAGGAAAATTGCACTTCTTTAACTGCCATGAGCAGTATTTGAAGGTGTCTGATAAAAAGCCGTATTCAGTTAAAATGATACAGTATTGATTATTTAAATTGGGACTGGGCCATGCCCAGAGCGCAGAGGGTGAGAAGGATGCTCCGATGGAGTCAGCTCTTCCTCACTTCCTCTTGCCGAGGTGTGAATTCCCAGCCCGCATCAAGGCTGAGGGCGACACCTACAAGCTGACAACACACTGGTCCGCCAGAATGCTCCCTCAGATTTTGCAAATACGCACATCAAAGCCGAATCAAAGACAGTTCCGCTTCGACACTGGGCAGGAGCCTTTCCACCCACGTTCAGGCTCAATTCCTTTTCCCATCGTCTCTGCTCTGGCAACCCCTGTGGGATTCCGAGACAGAAAAACGCCAAGGAACTTTGTGAGAGGCTGAGCGTAGCGTACCTGTAAGGAGTTATCATTACTAAAAATAGTGACGGGGAGAAAGACTCAGGACCGCCCAGCTATCAGAGGCCTGGGCGGGGCGTTCCGAGCGCAGTCGGGCTGGGAGACCAGGCGGCGGCTGCCCGGCTCCTGCCAGCGTCAATTTGTGGTGGCCCGAAGGCGCGGGTGGCCTGGCCCCAGTGACACCACAGGCACGGCCACCCTGCTGGGCCGCAGCCACCGTTCGTCCTCCCTCCCATTCGTCCCTCCAAGCCTTCGACAGACCTCTCCCCAAGCAGTTCCCAGCCTCGCTGCGGCTCCCACCCTCGAATGGGCTCCGCCCCGCGCCGGCCCCTTCCGGAAGCGCCGGCGTAGCGTCTCTTCATGGAACCCAATCTGCACGCCTCGCCGGCCGCCTCCGCGGCACTCTTTGCCTGGGTACGTGACTCCGCCCCCGTCCCGCGGCCGCTGGAGCTGAGGGGCGCGGGCGCGTGGGATCTCGGCTTGGGTCCCCGACCTCTGGGTGGGTAGAATCCGGGAGGCCGAGGTCCGAACCCAGCTCTGGGTTGGAGATCTGGGGCTAATGGCTGAGGATCAGAAGGCCGTGAAGAAAGGCTCTGCACGGGGTGACTGCAGAGCGCCTTGGAAAGACGGCGTGGAGGGCGCAATGGGGGAGGATTTCCGTCCCCCGGGCCCTGTGAGAGCCTCCTGTGCTTCATATCCTCCCATTGCCCATGGTGGAGAGGCCCTTCCCCAACCTCAGCCCAGCTTGGAGGGAGCATCCTCTGGAAGCGAGGCCTGTGGTTCTTGGCCGTGTACAAGACATACTCATCTTTGCTGATGTTCTGAACAGATCTTGATTGTATTGGGGCTGTGTTGGTTTGCCTGGACCACTGAGAGAGACCCAGACCCGGTCATCTTAGTGTTTTGATTAGCAGAGTTTGTGAACAGGAAGGTGGCAGGTATCCCACCATCATGCATGGGTACAATCAGACAGTGCCCAGTTGGTCTTCAGAGCACTTACCAACATGTGATGACTTGTACAGTTTGTTAATGTCAGCCTTCCTGAATTGAATGTGAGTGTCATAAGAAGGAGAGGTGGGCTTGTCTTGCTGTGTCTCCGATGCCAAGCACACTGTAGGTGCTCAGTATTTGTTGAGGAATGAGTGAATGAGTACCTATTGTGTGTTCAGACATGTGCTGATCTTTTTGGAAATGCACAAGAGGGAACCACTTCTAGCTTGCCTACTGGGGAGAGAGAGTAATGCCTATATTGCTATTAGCACTAGTGGTTATTGAATGGTAAAAAAAAGATAATCAGTAGTACAGGGCAGCACTTGTTGAATGTAAGGCTGCAGATTGGAAGAAGGGAGGATTTAGTGTGGTTGGAATTAGTAGGGGTCTCTGAGTGTCTTTGAGCTGTAGCACCTGAGCTTGAACTGGGGGGAGGGGGCGCTGATTATGTGCCTGGTGGGTGGTGAGTTGCTGTCTCTGGCTTTTTCCAGCTTGGAGATGGGGTCTGTGTGGATCTAGGAAACATGCAACAGAAAAAACCTTTCAGATAATACCTTGTCTGGACTGAAACAAATACTGTTGGGTTACTGCTGGGTTTGGAAGCCTGATGCTGTGTTCTTCCTGCACAACCTATGTGGATGAGATTTACCTACGAGTGTACATGTGTGTGTATTATATATGTAGTGTGGTGTGTCTGGAATGCTTTTAAGGAAGGGAGGTAAGTAGTAAATATAGTTGTAATAGGTTGCTTTAAGTTTTCCTTAATCTGAAGTTAGGGCCTTGTTAGTACATTATAGAAATTGGGTACCAAAGTGCTGGTGACTCACTTATTTCCTTCCAGATGTTTGTTGCTATTATGTGCCATCAAGATGATTCCAAATCATATCTGACCTATAGGACAGAGTAGAACAGCCTGAAGATTTCCAAGGCTGAAATAGTTATGGGAGCAGATCTCCGGGGATTGCAACTGTTCACATTTCATTTCAGTTAGCAGCTGGTTGTTTAATCACCAGGCCTCCTTCCCAGGGGTTTGTTGCTGTTGTTAAGTGCTGTTGAGCTGATTCCTACTCCTAGTGGCCCTGTAGAGGGTTTTGAAGGAGCAGCTGATGAGCTTGAACTGCTGACCTTGCGGTTCAAACCGACTGCAGTCCAGCGCATTAACCCACAGTGTCACACCAGTGGTATGTGTTAGGGTGTGGAAAGTGCTATAAAGAAAAATTAAGCAGAGAAAGAGGGTAAAGTAATGATGATGCTGTTTTAGATCATACACTTAGCTTCCTGGGCTCTGGGTTTTGTTGTTATTGTTAAGTGCTGTTGAGTCGATTCTGACTCATAGCTACCCTATATAGGTTTTCCAAGGAGCAGCTGATGGATTTGATCCACCACCTTGCAATTTAAACCAACCTTTTGGTCCAGTGCCACACCAGGACTCGGTTAGTTCATCTATAGATCCTTTTTTACCCCCTTAGAGACAGTATGTTACCCACCAGCCTGCTCCACAGGAGAAAGATGAGGCTTTCTGCTCCCGAAAAGATTTACAGCCTCAGAAACCCTATACAGGGTTGCTATGGGTTGGAGCTGACTTGACCGTACTAACAACAGTAGAGATTGTTGTTGTTGTTAAGTGCCATCAAGTCGATGCTGACCCATAGTGACCCTGTATAGGGTTTCCAAAGAGCAGCTGGTGAGCTTGAACCGCCGTCCTTGCAGTTCAGTAACCCACAGCGCCACACCTGATTTGCTTCCTACCAGCTATGTGACTGTGGAAAGTTACTTAACCTCTCTGAGTCTTAAGGTTCTTCATCTGTAAAACGAGAATGGTAATGCCCATCTGCCAGGTTGTTGTGAATACTGGGAAGTATTCAGTGATTGGCAGCTAGTATTGCCCCTGAGGGCCTTCAGGGTCTGCACGCCTGCCTTGGTTTGCTCTTCCAGACTGCCTGTGAACTGGCCTACAGAGGGGCAAGGTATATTTTAAATTTATTTTCACTGATTTACCATCTCGTCCCATCCCACCCCTGATAATCATCAATGAATGTTTCTTTTTGTGTATTTTTATAGTTTGAAATCACTTTTTGTCATCCAGGTATATTAAAAAAATTTTTTTTTAGAAAAATTTTTACTGCTCATCTCCTGGAGGCAATAGTTAGAGGAAGACACTCTAGAGGCATTATAGAAGAATTTATGAAATCTTAGAAAGACTCTGCAGGTCCGCAATCCTTACCTTCAATTCTAAATACAAGAGACTCTGAAACCCCAAATCTGACTTCTTTACCCCTTATTGTGAGTGTTTGTACCTTTTGTTGCAGAAATGTAACTGTATTGCTATGGGATGCTTCTCAGACCCTGCAGTGGTGTTCACATTATATGATATAGACACTTTAATACCTTTCTAAAATCTAGAAAATTCTGTCTAAATCACAAGTACATCTGGCCGTGGGGGTTCAGATTAGGAATTATGGATCTCTGTCACATAAACAACAATAGACATATTGCCCATCAAGGTAATATGTTTGTTCCTTTACAGAAATATCACTGTGTGAATCTTGAAGTTATTGTATTTGGAGAGACCCTTAGATATCATTGCCAACCTCTTTCACTTGTAGATGAAAAACAGCCAAGTGTCCTGCTTAAGGGCATTAAATTCTTGGCTAGCTTTGATTATACAAAGTTGTTGCCAGTTCTCTCAGTAAGGGTGTGGGGATAAGGGATAAGAACTTGTCCTTGTGTATTTATTTCCCACCTACTCTGTTCCTATTTCCCCCTTATACTGTTTTTCTTTTTTCCTTAGGCTCCCCAGGTCTTTAGTTTTTGTCAGATGAAACTCCACGCTGCCCCAAAGGCAACGCTAGGGGCTGGGACATTGAAAGGGAAAAGAGGGGTATCCTTGGAAAAGTGGTGGATGCTAAAGACTGTTCTCACCAGGAAATTGTGGTGCTCTGGGGCTGGCGCCAGTATTTAGCATGGACTCCTGGTGTGGGCTATAGGATCAGCACTGGCCTGTGAAGGTCAGTAAGGTCAGCAGTTCAAGCTCACCAACTGCTCCTCAGAAATTCTATACAGGGTCTCTGTGAGTCAGAACCAACTCACAACAACAAAGAACTTTGTTGTGTGCCATGGAGTTGATTCTAACTCTTAGCAACCCTTTAAGACAGTAGAACTGCTCCAAAGGGTAAAGATTTCTGTCACAGAGCCACTGGTGAGTTTGAACTACTGTTTGGTTAGCAGTGAAGATCTTAACTGTTGTGAAATCTCATTTGTTAAATACATTAAGAGGTATGTCAGGATGAGGAATACTGGGATGGATAAGACATTGACTGCTGTGGTTTTCATACTCTCTCATCTTTGGTTTATTTCATCCCTAGGGTGCAAATAGCTATGGACAACTTGGCCTGGGTCATAAAGAGGATGTGCTTTTGCCCCAGCAACTGAATGACTTTTGTGAACCTGGGAGTGTCAGGAGGATCACGGGAGGAGGGGGCCACTCTGCAGCTGTCACAGGTAACTTCTTTCAAGAGTTGATATATCTGTTCCCTGCCTCATTTGGATGTTTTCCTTTAGGATGTGTGTTACCATCTTTAATCTTTTTGTATGTTAAGGAGAAAGCCTCTTTTATTTTTGGTCAAAGAGCTACATTGTCATCAGTGAATCCTGGATTGTCTGAGCTAGCAGTACCTCAGAGATCTTCTAGGACATCCCCTTGCATACAAAGAAGGCTCAGAGAGGAAAACTGATTGTTTATGATCATGAGGCAGATTAATAGCAGTGTTGCAACAGGTGTCACATTTTATGTCATATATTGTAGCATTTGTAGTACTTGTTAAATACTGCCATAGGTACTATAAGCGAAGATGAACAAAAATAGAAATTCTTACTCCCAAGAATATTCAGTCTAATTGCAAAGACTAGTAACTGCCATGTGAAAGTCAAATAGCAATTATTGTGGTAGTGGTGGTAGTTGTTAGGTGTCCTTGATGCATAGCAACCCCGTGTGACAGAGTAGACTCACTGCCGCAGGATTTTCTAAACTATAATCTTTATGAGAGCAGATTGTGGTGCTGTAGGATAAGCACTGGACTGCTAACTGATCATCTACTGTAACAATAAAACTACTGTTTACTGAGCACTTCTTGTTGTTTGTTCTTTGGTGCTGTCAAGTTGGTACCAACTCATAGTGACCCTATGCACAACAGAACGAAGTACCGCCCCGTCCTGCACCAACCTCACAATCGTTGCTACGCTTGAGCCCATTGCTGCTACCACTGTACCAATCCATTTAGTTGAGGGTCTTCCTCTTTTTTGTTGACCCTCCACTTTACCAAGCATGATGTCCTTCTCCAGGGACTGGTCCCTCCTGATAATA